AACTCATAAACTCAAAATACAACTTTATTCTCAAATCATAATTCTAAAACTCTACCAAACGCTACTTAATGTTTTCAATTTTTAATGTATGTGTTGTAATGGTAATTTGGAAGAGAGATACAATTATAACTACAATAAAAACAAAAATGACAATTGTAATGAAACCTTTTTGTGGTACAAATCGAAGAGTTTTATTAATAACAGTCTTAAAGAAGATCAATAAGAAATACTAAATGTTAAAAAAATTATAATCCCAATATTTTCTTCACATATCACAAAACACTTTCACATATTTCAATTCATTTTTATACACTTTTTACACAAATTTTTTTCAATATTAACAACCGCTCTAAGAATTATTTTTAACATTTCCCTATTAGTTCTAATTTTTTTAAACAGATATAATACATTCTATATTTCTAACCTAAAGGAAAATGGTATGGCAGTGAGATTTGAAATTCAAACTTCTTGTCTGATAAACCACTAGGCTACCTCTTTGTCTCGAGTCCCATCATTTGATACTATAGTGTTTGCGACACAAGATTGTTAACTAATGTTCTTAGTATATTTGTTAACAAGCTTAAATTTATTTTCTGTTTCACGAAAATTGGTAGTTGATGAATGGGCACCCGTTTAAGAATAATACTATATGTATCAATTAATGTATTAATTAGTATATTAACAGATGATGTGGTATAATTTTAGAGATTTTGAATATTTTAATTTGTATAACAGGTGAGATCCATAATAATAAAATAACACTAGTTGGTATATTAGTATGTACATTAATTGATATATGTAGTACCACCGTCCATTTAAAGTTTTGTTAACTAATGCATTTAAATAGTGCTATATACGTTAAATACATTTTTGTATTAAAAATTATTCATCACCTTGTGCATCATCATGACATTAGTCCAATAGATCATACCACTCATGCTGGTTTCTAGTATAGTAATGACAAATTATATGATAAAATAGAGACATAGTAAGAAAATGCATTATTCTCTTTTAAAGGGAGGGCAATTTGGTCTCCAAAACTATTATTGTAACATTATTGAATGAACTTAAAGCACTTGTTATAATTTTCAAGGTAAATTATAAATACACCATATGAACTTTGCTTAAAATATGAATTGTTTCTTGTGGTTTGGAAAATTACAAATATCTTATTGTCAGAATTTTTTATTTAACAGAACTAATTAAAAAAGTAAAATTTTTAACTGTTCACCTATACAATAATAAAATTATCTGAATTATTAATTGAAATAAAATTTTAACATTATTAAAAATGGTTAATTAACTTGATGATTTATTAATAAAATGACCTATTTGTTATGAAATTAGAAACCTCAAGAGGCACAATGCAATTTCTAAAATCACAAAAGTAATTTGTAATTTACCCTAATTTATTTCACCACTCATGTATGGAGTTAAAAACTCCTTGTACATAATATTATACAAATAGAAACTCTACGCCTCAAAAAAAAAAAAAATGCTAGTGTTACATGTACTAATTAATATACTAACTAGTGTATCAATACTAGTTATGACATTATAATTGACCTTATTCATTATGCAAATTATAAATACTAATTTTTTTTTTAAATTATGTCATATCATCAATTAGTATATTAGTTAGTATATTAATTGGTACATATAACATTATTCTTAAAAAAAAGGGTAAGAAAAATTATCATGAATGAAGGTATATGATTAAGATTTGATTGATATATTACAGAATTTATATATAGAACGAATCTGAAAACATACACTGTCATTTCTGAATAAAATTATCATGAATGAAGGTGTGCGGTTGATATTTAATTGACTCCAACCATTTTGGTTTACTAGGTGCCATTTCACTTTCCAAAATTTTATTAATGCATGCCAACTCAATTTGTAAAGGAAGCTCGTGAATACCAACAGGGGTTGGTTCAGTAGGTAAAATCTTTGAATCCCTCGCTCAAGGCTTGGGTTCGAGTCTCCATAGCTTCTTGTTGGGGTTAAACATACTCCTTAGCTCCTGGAGCATGCGGGGGCCTAAGCTTCGACCCCGACGTAGGTGCGGTGGGGTTCTCTGCAGATATACTGTAGGTACTAAGGGGGCAATACTCCCTGACGGATATGTTGGAGTAGCCTATCTGCATATCCATTTTGTTGAATCAAAAAAAAAAGAGAGGAAGCTCGTGAATATATATGTTTGTATAATATTTTTAGATTAAATTTTAATTTTGTCAATTTAAATTATAATATTTTAATTTAAAATATTTGTTTATTTTTATTAATTAAAACTGACGAAAAAAAGAGTATTTTAATTATTACACTCAATGTAGGTATACATAAAATATCTTAAATATTATTTTTGGTTAAGTTTAATGATTAAAATATTCAATTTTTACTTAACAAAAATAAATAAGTAATTTAAATTAAAAACAAATGAAAAGATTAAAATTCAAATTAACAAAATTAAAATCTCAAGATTTCTTTTATAACAAGGGTTTCAAACTTTGTAATTTTTTTTTTAATTTGTTCTTGAAATTTTATGTAATATTATATATATATTATAAAATGAAACTAATGATAATGTTTTGAAATCAGTGAGGATTCAGGCGTAGATATTTAGGGTATGTTGAGCGCATCAATATGGGGACGACAGTACGTGGGGGGGTTTGACGGCTTATATGTTATTAAACGCATAATAATAATTAATAAGTGTTAGTAAATCAATCACACCAAACACTAAATCCAGTTGTAAACGTGTACTGATCCATAATAACATTTAATACATTTTACTTACTAACTTAATTAATTCTCGTTAATTCTTGTGTAACAGCCGTCTTCCATAAATTCCTCTTGGGATGCATGTGTTCACACTTGGGACATGCATGAATCATCCATATGTGGTTGTGGTTGATGCATGCATGCACAAAGTGAGAATTAACTTTTTTAGAATTCTTAAATTAAAAAAAAAAAAAAAAAACATCCTATTGTGTTTAGAAACAGGGCGACTCTAAACATCTTAGTTTTATTTTATTTATATACATATATAATTTAGGTTAAAATTTTATGCTGAACACCCAACTCACTTTCTTAAACGCTCAACTCAACTCTATAACTCTTTAATCAATATATATATATTTTGTGAAGTAAACACATAACATGTTTTTTAGTTTTGCTTTCTAAGCTTGTACAAAGTACATCTTTGACAAAATGATGTGCTTTTGCAATTCTCAACAAGTGTACCACTTAAATGTTAATATTGATCAATGGTTTTATAACTTATCTCAATTTGATTAAATGAGTTTTCTTCAATTTTTTTTTTAATCATAGTGATAAAAATAAAATATATTTATGTAAATTTTTGTATCTATGTTTTATTTTTTGAAACAATGATATCAATATGTTCGAATTTTATTTTATTTTATTTATTTGTGTGTGATTTGAAAAGTTAAAAAAAAAAAAATATGAATATCTAGCCTGAAAAAAAATCTTAAAGTACTCATGAACATCCTAAAAAGAATTTATGGAGTAGCCACTGGTTTAGAAGATGGGTATTCTCTAATATATTAATCATGTATTATTATTATTATTATTATTTTGATCCAATGCATTATTTGCTGCTGGTTTTATTGCAAGATATAGTTAGCTACATTATTATTATTTTCATTATTTTTGCTTCTCCTTCTCATGAAATTTAATCGGTCATCTAAACCTCACTAAGAAAATTTTTGTTTTTTTTTTTATTGTCAATGATTTCAATTTTTCATATGACCAATAGAATAAAACCTCATTTTTACGTTTAGTCTATGGTCTAAAAAAATATTTAGCCGCTATTGTGTTCTTTATGTATGTAGAAAAAAATAAAAAGGAAAGAAGGGTGCTAAAACTCAATTTATTATATAGGTAAAATATATAGGAATAAGAGAGAATAAGTTGCAAATTCAAGGGAGAAAAATTACAATTTCATTAACAAAAGAAATATAATATGACAAGCCTAATCAAACAAACCCCAAAACTATAACACACATGGCTTATAAAAAAACACAATAAATTTATGTGCAGAATGCATATAAATAATTTTTCTCATAAATATAATGTGTTAAAATTCAACTTTAAGATAAAAAAATCATAGTGGGTTTGAGTTGCGCATTAATTTTTCACTACAAATTTTTGTAATATATTTTATGTGCACTATAAAAAAAACCTATATCACAAACTCAAATTGGAAGAAATGCAAATCAAAATAATAGGTTGGCAGGTTAGGTTGATCTAGTGGCAAATTCATGAGATATAAATAAATAAATATATATGTGTTTGCAACAAAATATATGTATGTATAGAATACATATGTACACATGATGGATAAGAGAATGCATGTGTAAAACATAACATAAACCTATGTAACTTAAACAAGTCATTAAAGAGACACAAATGATGCAGCCCTCCCTTTTTTTTTGTGATTGGTAATCGTTCACTAATTAATATCCTATTTAATTAGATTCTCCTCCCAATCCTATATTATATATTGTAACTCCCACAATCCTCCTCCTATACTCTGCACCATCTCCTCAACCAATTTATACTCCACCCCTCTCCTCTCCTCTCATACACACACGTTACAACATGGATTCACACAGACACACACACACGTTACGACATGGATTCTCCTAAAGTACAACTTCATGTTCCAAAGGTGGAGAAGAACCACAATGAGTTTGATTGGTTGGACTTAGAAAAACAAACTCAAGGGTATATTCTTTCTTTGTTTTCTTTTCTTTCAAATAATACGTTGTAATTTTTAAAAATAGTTTTTCATTTGTCTGGTTTTTATTACCAGTTCTTCTGCTTGCACATAAATTAATCACAGAGTTGGACACAGATATGTGTTCATAGAATTTTTTCGTTTTTTAGGATTAGTAGTTAAACAAGATTTTGCATTATTTTTTGTGTGCAGAATGTATGATCAACAGCTAACGTTCACGGATAGCTTCGACCAATTCATGAACAGTTTCATGGAGTTTGATCTATGCCAGACACCTTACCAGAACAACCAAATTACCCATTTTGAGTTCAAAGACTTTCAAGATTTCCGCGGTGGTGATATGGGCTTTTGGGATTTTAACATTCCATCATTTTTCGACGATATCGTGATGGATACTAAGGTGGAGATCATGAATTCTTCTTCAGATCATCATTTGGAGAGTGTTGGAGGAAGTTTGGCAAGTAATAATGAAGTTCAAGAATTTGCTGCAATTGAGAGAGAGGAGGTGAAAAGGCAAAGTTGTGGAAATGGAAAATCAAAATGTGCAGCATTGGAATTGGATGAGATTCAAAAGTATTTTGATGTTCCAATAACTAAAGCTGCCAAGGAGTTGAAAGTTGGATTGACAGTGTTGAAGAAGAGATGCAGAGAACTGAATATAATGAGGTGGCCACATCGTAAGATCAAGAGCTTGAAGTCCCTCATTGACAATGTCAAGGTACGTGCATTGCATGCTAGATTGTTAATATATATGTCCTTGTTAATTTAAGTATTTAGTTTTTTTTTTTTTTTTTTTTGCTGGACATAGTGCTTATATTTTCTGTTGAGAATGTCTACTTTATTTTGTGAACCTACTTCTCATTCTTTTGCGGATTGTGTGATTTGACGAGAAATAATAAAAAATGATGAATTTTTTATTTTTAATCTTTTCTCATAGTTGGGGTATAAATTATGGGAGAAATGATGAGTAGGAAAAAAAAAATCTAATTTGGAAGTTTCATTTCTTATTAAGATTTGGTGAGAAAGTAAGATTTAGTGAGAAATAATGTCAACTGATTGGTTTATTTTTTATAATACTAAATTGCTCTTAAAAAAATTCCACTAATATTTGTGTATTATAAAACGTTGTTTTCTTTAATTATCCAAACATGATTACGAGGAAATAGATAAAGTCGTAATGAATGCACAACATGATGATGATGTATAAATGTTGGAAAGTTATTTTATTTATGGGTTCGACTTTTTTTATATTTACATCTCATTTAAGAGAGCTTAAGAGGCCCATGACACTTATCATGAGTTTCATTTTGATAATTCAAACCTTTCATTCTGTAGGGCTCTCATTACATATTATTTATGAAAAAAATTATGTTGTTCTGATAATTATAACCTTTTTTTTTTTTTTTTTTTTGATCAACAAAGAAAATCTTTATTGATGATGATCAAAGAATTTTCAAATATATATATATATTTGTTGTCTATTTTTTTCGGAGATAAATACGATAAAATGAAAAGGTTATGATTATTGGATCGAATTAATTATTTTTATAGATGATATATATCAAGAGTCTTACAAAATAAAACTGTTTGAATCATTAAAATGGACCCGTGGTAAACTCCACAAGCCTTTCAACTTCTTTCATGTTGAGATGTGTACATAAAATAAACTAAACTTTTTATTTTTTGAGCATTGGATTATTCTCTCCAGTTAGGAGAGAAGCCATTCTCTTTATGTTTTTGAAGCTTGGTATGCATATGCAAAATCTAATTAATCAATGCACAACATGATGATGTATAAAGGAGGTATTTTTATTTTTTTTAAAGGTTCTCTGTCATTTTAATATTTTTATTTTAAATTGCCCTAACTGTGTTTTGGCAAATAATTTAGGAGTTGGGATTGACAAGGGAAATAGAGATGTTAGAAGAGCATAGAAGGATGGTAGAGAAGCTGCCAGAACTTGAATTGACAGAGAGAACCAAGAAGCTTCGGCAAGCCTGCTTCAAGGCCAATTACAAGAAGAGAAGGTCTCTTGCTTCTCTTTCTAATTAAATCTTTGATATAATACACAGTTGTTTTATGGAGAGAGAGAGAGAAGGGTCTTGTGTCTTTTGTTTTTTTAAACAGGGTGTCCTGTTTTATTGGTTTTGTCATTTTTGTAATTACCACAGAGCAATGTTCACATTTACATCTCCAATTTCATGTCTTAAGAATGCAGAGGAAACCAAATTTCATGTAGTCTTGATGATTCAATCAATGGACAATTCTCAATGATTTAATTCTTGCATAAAAAAAAAAAAGATTTAATTCTAGGATAAATGAGTAGTTCCTAAATTTTGGTAGGTACTTGTATCATTTTTTTGTCATTTTAGTTGACTCAATTTTAATTTTGAATTTATAATTTTGCCTCAATTTAGTATAATTGATTACAATTATTCGTATTCTTTAATGAAAAACACTCATAAGTGGCATGTGTTATGATTTTATAGACAATTATATATTTAGTCAATTCAGTGATAATTTTTTGTCTAAAACACTAATGGCATTGTCGATTGGATTAAATTGATATGGTTTAAAATTGAGGGTCAAAATTGATTCAATTGAAAATGTAGAGATCAAAATGACACAATGAGCAAACTATATAGACTACTAGTGTAATTTGCCTTGTATCTGTTATTCAATTAAAAATGTAGAGATCAAAATGACACAATGAGCAAACTATATGGACTACTAGTGTAATTTGCCTTGTATCTGTTTTTGGTATAGTATTAAAAGTATTATTATCCGAGCATATGACCATACATTGAACTTATTTGGCCTTCTTAAAACATGCCACATTTCCTTAATGGACAACATCAACAAATGACAAAATTATGTGACCCAATTGTGTTTGACTAAACTCAATTCTAATAAACAAGGTTTTGAGAGAGTTGATAGGGTAGGGTCGGTCGATTATAGTGGTAGGTAGGTTAAATTTGTCTAGGTTGGAGTAAATTATGAAATTGTATAACTAAATAATTAAGTTTAAAATTAAGAATTCACGTGTGGAACTCGAAAAAACCAACCTATTGCCATCTGGTGTTGCTATCCAAGACACAATCTCTTGCATTACAGTTCTTTGGTTACAGTGAGCACAATTGCTTCTTGTATTAGCAACATTCCATACTTTCATTGAACTCAACAAGCCATATTTCCAACATTTACTAACACAAGGATTATGCAAGAAACACTATAACACATATTCAAGTAATTAAAAAATGACAAATCTTGTCAATATACATTCAAGAGTAATTCATTTCATACCTAAGTTTCACATTGGACAAGAGAGTCAAAATGTCGTACATCTGTGCTAATATCTCAACGACATTCATTGATTGAACAAGATATGAACAATATTCTGGGAACATAATATGGAATGCCTGTGCACCATTACATTAATTTAAGAGTTTCAACTAGTGTATAATATAATTCAAGAGCATGTAGATAACCCGGTGATTGGGCCTTTACCCGGGTTTCAATCCCCACCCCTAACTATGTAATGAAGTTCGTCTTTTTGCCAGAAGAAAAAGGACAAAAACTAGTATAATTCATATACGAGAGCAACACGGGGGGTAACTCAATGATCAGGGAGATCATATGACTGCACGAGAAGAAACAATCAAGTTTTCATTTTTTGTTGTTTGTGTCTCCATGGGACTGCTTGCTTAACACTTTCATAAATGCTTGTCTGCAACATTACATAATGTACGTACATATATTATGATCCATACATAACTGTAAACATATGGATAAAATAAAGGAAAACACAAAAGAGTTCCCAACCAATTTCATATTTTAAATTTTTTGCATTCCTCATATGTGGCCTTTTAAGCTTTGAATATTAACAGCTGCTTGACAATTCTTGAAAATAAGCAACATTTCTAGGTACACACAGTTCAACTATAGAAAAATATCGGTTCTAAACACTCGGTTTGTATTTTTTTTTTCTTATGAAAAAGTGGACAAATTTATGGGAGAATTTTTTTTTTGTTGGGGGGGGGGGGAATTTTTTTAGTAACTTATAAGGAAAAATTCATACCAAAGGAAATAAAAAAGAAAGGAGCGACGAATTAATTATTATCACGCAAAGAATTTTATGTTATAATAATGGAACTTGATCCTTTCTTTGAATAGAGTTAAAATTCGATGTCCTTACTTTGAATCAAATAGAACATGCTTTTATGAACTTGAAGTTGAATTTGAACTGAAAAGTATAGGCAAAAAATTTCAAATTAAAGTTTTTAAGAGGAGCAAATTCAAAGAAAGCCATTGGGGGTGAGCAAGACAAAAGGGATAAAGAGGCAGCACCTGTTTTAACCTTTTATCAGCTTTATGAAAGATGGAATATCAATTCGGAATACCATTAAAAACTTGGAAAAACAAATTAACCAAATAAAATATTTTCCAATTACAGGCCTAAATTTCGATTTAATTACTCTTGACACTTCAGAGAAGCAAAGCAAATCAAGCCCATATATATAGGATTATTTTATGGTGTTTTCTCTATAAATTTTCTGTTTAGTACAGAGTTTTTGGGATGTAATTTATATGAATACAATATATTATTTTGGATAAATTATAAATACATGCTTGAGGTTTCCTTAAAGTAGAGGTTGCACTACATGGTTTGGAAAATTACAAATACCTCCTTATTAGTATTTTTTATTTAATAAAATTAACTAAAAAAATAAAATTCATAATTGCTCTTATATAAAATAATAAAATTACCTAAATTATTAATTGAAATATATTTCTAACATCATTAAAAATTGTTAATTGACTTGATGATTTATTAATAAAAAGGGCGATTAGTTATAAAATTAGAAACCTCAAGGGGTGGAATGTAATTTCCAAAATCACATAGAGCGATTCGTATTTTAATCAAATCAGGAGTGCATTTGTAATTTACCCTATATTTTTTTATTGGGCAAATTATACATATGATCCCTATAATTTGTTTTTTGTATTAGTTTAGTCCTTATAGTTTTAATTTTAACCTAAATTTTTATATTATGTCAATTTAGTCCAATTGATGACAAAAATTAATAGCAAAATACGCCATTAAAAAATAAATGAATTATTTCAAACTAAATGTAATCTGGCTGGCAATCAGTTTAAAGAGAGTGAATAATTTATTTTGCCTTTACAGTCTAATTTCGAAAAGAAGGTTATTAATTAGACTAAATTGACACAATATAAAAGATTTAAGTAAAATTAATGCAATTTGTTGATTCTTCAATCTAAAATTTAAAATTTTAAAAACAAATCAAGGAGTATAATGATCTGATAGAGAAATGTTGAATTTATGATAATTGAAACTAGATTGATATGTATGAATTAACTGTGAAGTTGATGAGATGAGAGTTGACAATTACTTACCCAGAGGTTAGACTTGGAGGAACCAAAGAAGCTGCTCCTCTTTCTAACCTTTGAGGTCTTCACCTCTGACTCTTCCAAGGCATCACTCTCACAAGGACCACAACCAACTGAAGGTGAAAAGTCAAAACTACCCCCATCATCGACGGCTCCGGCATTTTGCTTGAAACTCCCCGGCCACCGCCAAGAACTGAAGTTCCACCTCTCCTTTCCGATCTGTTTCCTAACCACCCCTGCCTCGGGGCTCCTAAACGACGCTTTTCCCATAGAAAACGACAATGTGTGAGACAGTGATCGGGCTGAGTAAGGCCCGTCTAGGACCGTGGTTGGGGAGGGCGTATTGGTAATTTTGGCCTCGTTTAAGAGCCTTGGAGGGAGGTCTAAGCACCTTACAGCTTTGGGCTTTGAGGTACAGGGTCGGGGCTTTCCAGGTGCCTCTTCCCAATGGAATGGAACCGAAGCAAGGGTTTGGAGTGGCGGTGTGACCATTCCCGGAGGCTCGTGAGGTTTGCTGGGGAGGGAGAATAGGGGGAGCTTGGGCGGAGTGGAGCTCGGTTGGGGCTCTGGTTCGGAATCGGATCCCATTCCTCTCTCTCTCTCTCTCTAAATTCTGCTCACGAAGTGAGTGTCTTGATTTTCACTGTGATATATATTAGAGAGAGAGAGAGAGAGAGAGAGAGAGAGAGAGGGAGGGGAGCGGGTTTTTAAAACGGTTATGGCGCTTGTTATTCACAAGAAAAGGAAGGTAAAGCTTTACATGTATGTATGTATGTGCGTTTGTTGAATGAAGTAACTACTTTGGACAATATTGTGGGACCCTCTCCAATATCTTGACTTTGTTGCAATCAAGATAACAACGTTCATCCACGGTCATAACTCAACTCATGTGTATGACTGTCATGTTGCATGATCATCATCATGATAATCATCGTTTGATTGTTGTAATTTATTAGGAAAATTGCAAATAATTGCGACCACCAAGTATCCTCTAGAGTGAAATTTTTCTAAAATTTTCTAGAGTGTTATATTATGTGGTTGAGATTTACTGGCAAGTCACATCTAAAAAATTGATGTGACTTGCCAGTAAATCTCAACCACACAATGTACCACTCTAGGAAACTTTAAGAAAAAATCACTCTAGAGAATCCTTGCTCAATTACGACACTAAAAAAATAATTGAAATAATAATGATAAAAAACTTTATGATGGATTTTTTAATATACAACAGCTTGTACCAAACACATAAACAACTAACACCATGCACACAAAATTACACAAGACCTTATTTTGTCTTATTGATTTATAATTTTTCATAATTTATTTGAAATTTAAAAAAAATTAAGATAAATTATACTCATCTCATTGAAGGTTTGAGAAAAAATAAAATTAACCTGACGGTTTTAAAGTATTTTAAATCAATCATATATCATGTACCAAAATTTTTTACAAGTAAAATATATTAATTTATCCATGTTAAGCAATTTAGAAAATAAATATATAAAATAAAAGATTTACTACATAGATAATATTACATATTAGAGAGAGGATGATGTGGTGTTATTGTTCCTACTTTTTAAATTGAAAACTAATAATTTATAAATAAAATCTTGAAAATCTTAAGATAATTAATTAATTAAATTTATTTGTGCAAACACAAAACAGTCCTCAACATATAATATATAAAATATAATTATATAATGTTATATGTATAATCAACCCAAGTGCATCTCAATGAGACAAAAATGTTAAACATTACATTTTTAGATTTTAAAAAGAAAAATATGTTAGAATGAAAATTTGGGGAGTCTAGAAACAGAGGCCAAATGGTGTTGTAAATTGGAAATAGCTTTAGGTTTGACAAATTCTCCTTCAGAGAGTATATATTTAACAACTCCATAGCCGGCCGGCACTTACTAGAAAATTCACACTGATAAATAGTGACAGACTGGTTTAGGATTTCGATAAAAATGATAAAAGTCATTGTCCAAACTCCTACCTGAGCTACGGCATTTACTAGGACTTCCAAATTGCAATTTGCATGCACCGATTTCATTAATCGTTTATTTTGTAAGTCTTTTAATATATGTTATTTATAAAAAAAATATTAATTCAATTTAATAATCATAATTTTTATTTTGTTTTATTGTATTTATTTTTGAAAAAAATAAACTTTAAATATATTTTTAAAAATTGACCATTCAATTTTTGAAAACAAACACAATAAAATAAAAATATTACAATTATCATATTGACTTAATTTTTTTTTATGAATAATATAAATTGAGAGTCCAACAAAACAAAACGGTTCAAATCATTGAAAAAAAACTAGGTCCCACAACTCTCTCAAGTTTGTTTAATTTTATATTTAAATTTGAGAGAAATCCAACTTATATGAAATAACAAAACATTACAATGCTGGGAAATGCTATGGTGGGATGCATACAATATGCACCCTACCACAAAATGTGTAACTATACTATAAAATTTTGTAACCATCAATCACAAAATGCATAACATCGCCACAAATTGGTGTAACAAAAAATATCGTTATCAAGTCACAAATTTTTGCAATATCAACTACAAAATTTTGAATATTTTGTTACACCAATTTATAAAGAGATTACACATTTTATAATTAATATTACAAAATTTCGTGATAAAAATATATATTTTTGTGATAGGATGCATATGCATCCTAAAGGGTGCACATATGGGATTTCCTACAATGCCCCTTTACTTTATTTAGCTTATTTGTTAAAAATTCACTAATAATTTTTAATTATAATTTTTAATTATAATTTTAAATTATAACTTATTCCATTTGATTTTTTAAATTATTTGACCCAAAAAATGAGTAAAATTATAAAGCTAGTTATTGAGGTATTGAATGGACTCAACCTCAAATTTAACTCTAAAAAGTTAGCTATTAAGGAGAGAGTAAATTTATGCTTATATATTTCACATTACTTTAATATTCAGATAATGTGAAATTTCGCTTCACAAATTATTAGTGTAAAAATATTTTTGAGAACGTTCCGAAGATTTGTATGGCACAAACTATATAACCACTTATTTAACTAAATATGTTTAATTTATGTTTACAAATTATAAAAAAAAAAATTGCACCAAATGGACTTATAACTAACTTTAATTCTTTTAAGTTAATAATTTAAAAAGCTATAATCATAAACAACAACTTATAAGCGATATCAAACGGGCCAAATAACATTTATTAAGCTAAAAATTTCTCTCCAAATTAACTTTTCAATAATTCTAGGGATCAAAAATTCAAATACAAAAAATACTTAGAAAAACAATATATGGCCCAAATGTAACATTTGCATGATGGAACTCACACTTAAAATAAATCTAAACCATACATTTTTTTATTTTTTATTTTTTTGTGGAAATTTTAGTGTCAGGAATTTCTGATCCCTAGCATTACTATTATCCTTTTTACTGGGGAAAGGAGTGATATTGGCTGAAGGTTTTGGCCACTCTGCATCAAACAAACAAACAAATAAACAAATAAAACAACTACTGCATGATCAAGAGGCTGTGTGCCATTGAGTTGAAGGCTTGATCAATGTAATTGAACTCCAAAGTAAAATTGCCCCTAGTTAAAGCGTCTTCGATCATTGACTAATTTGTTGTCAAATGAGAAATGAATCAAAATTTTCAACAACTCTTTTCTCACTTAATTTTGATAAAATTGTTAAAAGATGCAGAATTGGAGATTTTTTTTTTTAATTACATAAATTGGTTAAAAGAGATTTTAAAGATATGTTAAGTAGTTTCAAAAAGATATGATGAAAAAATTGATTCTCACCCTTGAGTTATATCAAATTAAGTTCTTGATCTAAATTGCTGAACAAATTTTATGGAAAAAAAAAAAAAAATAGTGTGGTGTGTTCATTGTCTAATCCATTTGGACTACAGTGGTTAGTGTGAGTGCCAAGGTATCTCTCCGGTTCCGATAGGTAGCTCGAATTTGGAGGCTCGAATTTGGCTCGAATTCGGAGAAGAAGAAGAAGAGAAGAAGAAGAAGAAGAGAAGGAGGAAGGAGGAGGAGGAGGAGGAGGAGGACTAGAGGGGGCATAATCACAGGGAGAGGAGGAGGCGGAGGCGGGGCCGGAGGCGACGGCGGTGGTGCTGCGACGATCTCCTCTCCTCCTCTCTCTTTCTCCCTCTCTCCTCCTCTTTCTCTTCTCCTCTCTTCTTCCTTTGCTCTTCTCCTGTGTTCAATGAAGAAGAAGAAGAAAAGAAAGAAAGAAAAGGAAGAGAAAGAAAAGGCAGAAAAAAAAAAAAAAATTTGTCGTTTTGGGTTTCGAGCTGAATTCGGGCCACCGAATTTGAGCTACGAGTCATTTTCCGTATCTCTCTCACATATGATTACACACATGTACATATTTCATCCAACAATTCACCCAAGTTCATTTATGCCTCTTTTTTTATCCTAAAGAAATTTTCATTAAGGAAGCCAAATCAGAGAAAATCCATCCAACAAATAAATTTATACCGAGCAAAGAAAAGATCCAAGTAAGAAACACAAAGAAGTAAAGACTATGAAAAAATTCAAATGCACAACTCGTGCTCATACTCATATGGCAAAGCAGAAGCCAATCAATCGGCAATAGAGCATGTCTGAGATAGATTATAGGTTATAACCATATAGTGGATAAGTTACGGTATAGCACGGATGGACTCCAAAACACAACAAAACCAAAAAAAGGAAAAAAAAATGGGAAAAACTTGACCTCATTCCCAAAGAACAGTTGGATCTGTGGAGGCGGGCCAGATCCGTGGTAGATATGGTGCGTGGGATTGTGGTGACAACTATGGCAAGCGACAGAGGAGGAGGGACAAGGCAGATCTAGCACCGACGGGATGGAGAAGGAGAAACCGAGCAAACTTCCACTATGGGAGGAAGAAACACCTCACAAGGAGGGAGATGTTGTGAATAAAGAGCACCCAAGACTTATTGTGCACAAAAAAAATAAAAAAAAAATAAATAGTATTCGTCTAAAATGTCTCTAAAATATGCCTCTAAAATGTCCATCTTAAACATGATTTTTGTGTCATCCCAACTTTTCTTTTTTAAAAAAAATTAGTATTCATATTCCCACAAATAAGAATTTGCAATGGTCAAACTTACCACACATCCCAAAAGAACCGATTGAAGGACTCACTCTTTTTCAACAACTCAAGACGTTATTCTTATCGTCTACACAAAATCAAATACCTAATTTTAACGCACAAGTCTTATATATATATATTCATCTCTATCTTTCATTTTCAATCTTCCACCTCTCATTACTCATAACTTTTTATTCCTCATATGTCATATCATTTCTCTCTCGTTATTATGCACCCTCCTAAGAGTAGCAAATTACCCATTTTACCTCCCTCTGCTCCTGCCATGATTTTCTAATTGCTTGTCCCTGCTCCAACAAGAAACAAGACAGGGACTGGACACCACAAACCGGCCTCATCCCAATGGTTGCCATACTATTCCTTCCACATTTCCATCCTGATGGCAAATGTAGTCCTTTCTCAATCAAACACTGCATAAAAATCAAGAGACCTAGATACCAGTAACCAGGGATTTTCAACCAGGTATAAAACTTGCTAATTTATTTATTTATTTAAATTTATGACTCCACCAGATTGGCACAAGAAACATTAAATGCAAAATTCAAGATAGCCACCCCTAATTGAAATATGTACTAATGAGAGGGAACAAAGGGAGATGTTACCCACTCCAAGTGAATAATAAAGACATTGAGAGCCCATCCTACCAATCATCTCTACCATCTCATAGACTCATGACCCTGTTGCTGCTACTACTGCTCTGTTTGGTCACATCTCCATCTGTTTATGAGTTTCTTTATTTCTTCCATTTATCATTCAAACACATTGGCACTCAGGATGTGTCAAGAGGTACCATTTTGGATAAATCTTGATTCTACCTATCAATGTGTTGAAAGTTCTGTAACTTTTTGCTCCATACTTCTTCACTCTTCATCAACCAAATGTGTGGCATGTCAAATCATCAGAGGATTAAATCCCACCTCATGAAATGCTTCTCTCAATGAATTTTTGATTTCAAAATCAGTGATTTAAATTGTATTCTAGCATCAGTCAAAAAGAGTGTCTTCACGAGCGCAATTTACTGTGCTATGGTTGTTGAACAACTTTCTCACCAAATTCTTCGCATATCTTTGCAAGAGTTGACTTTTTGCATCCTGAAAAAACACATGCACATCATGTTCAGTGAATAAAGGTTGTGTTTAAACCTCTAGCCTAAACACATGGGGAAATTTAGTCATGATCAGTTTCATCAGAAATAGTATATTAGAGTTGAGACAGCCTTTAATGCAGGATAGATGTTAATTAACCATATAACCAATTTGGTGGCTACTAATAAGCTACTTTAAAAGGATTAAATACATCCAGTCTCTGACACCAACATCAAAACAGCACGACAAAACAATAAAACAGAAACGGAAAGTGATTATTAATGAGAAAAAATAGTTTGCAGATGCCATAAGAACCTATATTGCATTTTCCCTCATATTTTCCATAAAAATAAGGCAAGACATTCCCAAAATTGATACCAATGGTCACACGCAAAGATTTAACTCACAAACTACTGTTCCATTACCTGAGCATGCCAAGGAGAAAGTGATTTCAGAACTAGAATATCTTCAGCAAGATCAACATGATAAAACTTGTAAAGCTCAACAAGAACTAGCAATTTATAGGTTTGAAACTCAAGTGGTCAAGCTCAACAAAGCACGTGTTACAACTTTGGGATCAACTATATGAGATAATTGGAGAAAAGTAGTTCAAAAGAAAAATCATATGTAATGCACTATTGCTACGTACTCTATCTGAAACACAGAGAAGAAACACATTTCAGTTATTGTGTTTCCCCTAATGTGTATAGCCTAACTCTAAAATCCACCTCATATCACCCATCTTTGAACCATAAAGTTCTGTAAAACTTACATAAACAAAAATTTAAACATGTTATTGGTGAAGTCCAAGAACTAGTGATGATATTGCAAAGGAGTTCACAAGACAGTTTGAAGCTCTCAACTCTTAAGAGCAAGAACACCTTAGAATTATTCCATGTTCTTTTTCTTCTTGGATTATCATCACTTTTGCTTTTGTTATGTCGAATTTCTTTTTCTTTGTTTTTCTTTTTTTCTTTTATATTTTTATGTGACAAGTGTGATATGTTAATAGCACTAATCTTATGTTCATGTTCTGGCCATAACTACAAATGTTAATTTAGGCTTATTTACAATTTCGACACATATAGAGCCTACAAATGGCAACCATGCAAAAGCATGGCCAACTTTTCAGAGTAAAATAATTTCAATTAGATCCTTAATTTGGACCCAAAACCTTTTACATACTTTCAAATACTATTGGCCACTCTGATCCACCCATAACCTTCATTTCAAAACTTTAGAGGAGGACTAATTAGAAAAGGTTCGTGAATTTGGGTAGTAAATTGCAGACACAATTTGCTATAATTGTATGAGGATTCAAGAAGTTAAGAAGGAAGCACAAGAATTTTACACAAGTGTTTTGACAAATAACAGCTGTTATGGCGCCACTGTAAAAATCACCCTTTTCACCATCCCCCCTTTCATAATCCTGACCACACCATCCCAAATTCCCAATAAGTAGTGGCGGTTCCATTTCAATCTCATTTACATGTTGAATGATACCGGTTGCTACTCTTTCAGTTAAAGTGTTTGATTTATTAGGCTTTAAATCCTGGACATCTTCGACACTTTTGTGCTTTGAACTAGAACCAATCAATGTTTCTAACTGTCAAAAAGTACTTATGCTCACATTCTGCCTGAAATGATCTTACCATCTAGCAAAGTCTTTCCCCCCTAGTTTAATTTCCATAAACACTGATTTGTGCATCAATGGTTACTTAAATCAGAGTCGGAATATGACTTCGTAATATTCTTATTTTACTATTAAAATTGGGACATCTTGGATGATACAGGCACAAGTAATGTCAATCAGCAAATTTTATCAAGCATATACAATGACAAGAACTATCAACAGTGTAACTTCTTTGAGAAAATTCCCAACCCCTTGTACCCAATACTCATGGAGTCAAGCCCAATTTTTTTACAACAGTGATAAAGTCATGTAACATTATCCAAATTCAAGCAATATATGGTGATGAGTTGAAGTATTAGCAAAACCAGCTCACAAACCCCCATTGTTCAAAGGACCGCATATGACTGGTAAGCTGTTGTTTCATAAAATGAATTCCACTCCATAACATCCAATATTTCAACTTAACAGAGTCCAGAGCACTCCCTTAACCCCTGCATTTCGACAGGACGGATATCAGCCTATAGATGCATACATATGTATATGTAGATAGAGACAGATGGAGTACGGTTGAGGTTATTGTTTTACCTTTGGTTAGCGAGAAGATATTGGTATTGCCACTGATGACAAACCATCTTAGGCTTTGGCACAACGGAGTTGTTCCATGAAAGCACATGCATCAAACATAGAGGTCAAACTCAAATGGAGGGATTTGGTTTCTGTTTTGGGGAGGATTGCATTTTCTCTTCTTTTTCTTGTTCCTTTTGGCTATAAATAAATGGAAAATTAATTGCAAATCAGTAAATTGCACCAAGTACAATTCTTATTTGCACACCACTAATTTGTAACTAAATTCCTCATTTTTCATTTTATCTGATATTATCCTGTATTAGTTATGTTTTGGTAGAGTCAAAAAAGGTACTGTTTTGCTCAAAGTCCTCAAATTATTCCCCGAGTCTATATATCAATTATTTTTTAATTTTACAGGCCTCGAATGTATATATTTTTAGTTAACCATAGTCTGCGAAGCTAATTATTGTATTGATGACAATGTATTTTTTGCTATTCTTATCGTAATGAAAAAAATTATTTCAATGCCACAATAGTCTGTGAACCTAAGCCTTTCACAAAACTCTAGGGAAGTTCATTTAGTTCCATTTGATATCTTCCAACAAAGAACAAACCTTAGTATTATTCTTGAAACATTACCACATAATTGAAGAGAATTTTTATCTAAATCCTGAAAAATAAAAAGTATAAAAATAATATTCTTAAACCAGAGAATATAGAAAACAACAATAATTACAAAAGCTTTATAAATCAGACTGCCAATAGTGAAACAAGATTTCCAAATGTCAAATAAAATCCCATTTACAAGATTGCCTTGTTTTTACCTTCTTCACACAATGTCTAGCTAGACGAAGGATTTGTGTCAATTGACTTCTATTGCATAAACAAAATGACAATTTTACTATACAAATTGACTACAAGTTGAAATAAAACCAAGATCTCAGAACCCTCTTAGCCTAATTTTCAAGATCAGAGTCCAGATTACTATTTATTTACTACTTTCGCAGATGCCTGAACCCATCACGAGCCATGGTCCCCTCAAGATCCCCTATAATTCGAGCTATCCGGACTTCAAGACCCCTCTGGACTTCCCTGAAGAGTGTTCTAACACTATCAGCAAATCGGTTCATGTCAAAGCTCTCAGATCCATCTAGATTCTCTACAGCCTCAACAAATCCAGAAGATATCTTGGACTGTATTTCCATCAACTTCTGTCCTGTAGCAACTATATATCTCTGAAGCTGAAATGTTTCATCAAGGAAATGCTCTAGTGTTTTAGTTTCTTCCTTTGTCCTACTGACACTAGAACCTCCGTGGCTCACATTGAGATCATTTTCTTGCTGAGAATCATAGAGAGAGAATATTAAGCAAGTACCCATTTCAATTGCACAATATTAAGGGTTACTGTGTATTGAACTTGGATGCAACACATGTTCATATGGGGACATAAGTTCAATCTGTTCGTCATCAGTCACATAAGTTCAGTAGAATTTTTATAAAACGAAGATTTGAAAACTTCAAAATGTAAACAAACTCTATATGTAAAATTCATGATGTTTCCATTAAGAGTTAAAATTGGGGCTTACCATCCGCTTGCAAATTTCATCTGCCTTTCCTTGGAGGGACTGGTACCTACTAACTTGTTTACTCAACAATGACATTAGTATGTGGAATCCCTTTATCCCAGCCCACGCTTTATTGTCACCTTCCATATCTTCATAACTTTCTCGCTTTCCTGTCAATCTCTCAAGCATGAGCAATTGTTGCTTGAGCCTCTTGATCTTGAAAGAAACTCCAAGAGCGTGAAGGTCCATTCTCCATGAAGAAGTATTGCTCTTACTCGAGCAGTGGTCCGATGATGCTGACTTTTCAACAATGTGAACCTCCTCTGGGCCAGCATGTACGTCTTGAATGGAACCAGGGTCCAAAACGACATCTTTTTCTACCTCAATCTCCTGGACAGTCAAAATTATATCTTTGGAATGGCTTGTGATCAAGGTTTTTTGAGGCTCCACCTCCTGAGAAATGTTTGCTGAAGCAGTCTTCATTTCTTGTTTTTTCTCCCCTAGTTTTCTCTTTACAATCTTGAGATCAGACAAAACAGTTTCATGTGTTAAACCCATATCATTAGGACATGAATTTTCAGTCTTTTTGAGACTTGGGGGCTCTAACTGCAAGACAAACTGCTGCTTCAAGTACTTTAACTCAGTTTCCCGATCCAATAACAAAGCGTTAAGTTTCATGTTCCCCTGCCTGAGCTGCAATAGGTCATGGATAAGCCCTTCAATATGAGACTGCAGCCGCTTTGATTCTAGTTCCATGCTCAGTAAACGCCTACGAAAAGCTTCTAATTTCTCATCCTTAAGTCTCAGTTGTTCTGAAAAAGCATTTATCTCTAGGTGATGCCTCTGCTCAACTAAAGTACTGTATTTTTCAGCTTCAGATCGAACCACCTGTTTAATATCAGCTGCAAACACTCCACAAAATTTTTTGACTCAAAACAAAATATAAGCAAATGTTTCACTACTATCATGAACAATTGAGCATTAGGAATAATCAACAAATGATTGATCATTTTATTATCACTTAAGCAACGAAGGCCTTAACTTTGTTCCTTTTTTATATATTCCCTATTTTTTTCCATTTTTTTAATTAAAAAAAATGATAATTCCATAACCGAGAAGAAAACTTTGATTTTTAGCTGGAATAACAGTTGATAATGTTCATTGCAAGTAAAAAGAAATATAATAAATGCTAGAAATCCAGAGGGGTATGATGAAGATGCAAACTTACCCATTTGCTCACTTCCTTCTACCAAGTATTGATCATAAAATGGAGAACAAAATTCTAGCTCTTTTTGATGCTCAGGATGGTCATAGTATAGAAGAAAATCAGTTGACCGTGATCTACTCCTTCCACTCTGTGATGGCGCTATTGCATTGGAATGCACCCCTCTTCCATCCGACAAGGCCTCCGATTTTGAATTGGCATGCTTAGACAACATACTTTTCAATGAATGCCTCTGACGTCTAGATTGAGAACCTGTTCTCCACTTTTCTGTTTCCAAGTCATCTTGCTTTCTCGTGGCCTTCGATAATTCTACTTCCTTTAAAAGCATTTGCTTCTCCGCAGTGTCCCATTTGGATTTCCTCAGCATAGCTGACAAAATCTTGTCTGTCTTTTCCAAATCCTTTTGTGTTTTAACCAGCTCCACAGAAAGCTTCTGGGCCATCAAATCAGATTCCTCCTTTTGCTCCAAAACTGAATCCACCTCTTGTTTTGCAGCCTCAACTTGCCTGAGGGCTCGACCCATCTCAGCTTCGAGCTGTCTCTGGTTAGAAATGAGCTCAAGGACAGCAGTTTTGTGCTTCCGAAGTTCCATGAAATGCTCTTGGGCTTCAAGCTTTACAATCTCCCTTAATTCCTCTGCCATATTGATAGCCTCCTTTAGTTTTTCTTCTAGCTCCCTACTCTTCAGCTCTTTCTGCTCAAATTCCTTATCCTTGGATTGCAAGAGATTCTCATTCTCCTGTAACTTATCATTCAATTCAGAAATAGTTTCGTCCCTTTTTCTCTGCAAAATTCTTAATTCTTTTAAAAGAGCTCCAATTTGCTGTCGAAGCTTCTTTCTTTCAGATAACCAGCTCTGCTCTTGTGCAGCAAATATGCTGACGACTTTCTCATTGGCCTTTGCATCTTCACTTCTCCTTCTCTTTAACTCTTCAATCTCTCTCTCCGCATCCTGAAGCTTGTGAAGGATCTCACACTTTCCACTAGTGGCTTCTTCCCTCTGAGCACTCCAAACAAGATATCCCAAGAGGTGAGCACTTCCCTGAAGCAATCTATTTCTTATTTCTGACCATTTCTCATCATTCATTTCAGGCTCTGATAACAGCCTAAGCGCAGAGAATGCCCAAGAAACACCAAAGAAGATTGGATACAAGCTATCACTTCTAACATCAGATATAACCAAACATGAATTTAAGACCCTCTTTTCATCCATTTCTCAAGGATATGTTCCGTCAATTATAAATTTGACAATCCTAAACAACTTCAATAATTCAAATAGATTTACCTAAAATGTTGACATGAAAAGAAAAAGAACCTACTTTGTGAAATTTGATTGAAGAATGGAAAAAGCAAGAGAACTATAAAACCACAGAATCAAGAAATGGGCGAGGACCAGAACGAACGAACAAACCTTAAAGAAACAGGTATTAAAGCTTGTTCAACTGAAAACCACAAAACTTCCTCACCTAAATGTCAGACAGACAATTATTCTATAGAATTTAAATAAGTGAACAATTAAAGCAATACACAACTTGTAAGAACTAGGGCTCAAGGCTTCTTCAACTAAAAGGCAGATAAAGAGGATTTTGGGAATGTATTATCTCAGAGGGATGTGAGTTTAGGGGGAGATCTAAAGAAAAAAGACTATAAACCCAACTGGAAGTAACTCATATCATCTGTGTGTTGTTTTAGTTGTCCCATAGAGAATGCCAATGACATGGTTTTGCACATGACAATTGTTCCCTGGTATTCAGTGAAAGACTGACCCATCTGACCCCACTTGCATTCCTTTTCCCCCCTCCTTTTCTTCTTCTGTTAGGAAGCAAAAGCACAAGATTTCACCATTACTACTATGGAGAAAAAGGAAAGTTCTATATCAGAGTCAAATTGCATATTGTATATTGTGTGTGTCCACACTCTGATAATTCCACACAAGTTTACAGTAAATAGTGCTTTGTTTTTGTAAATTGGTATTAGTACTTCTCACATATCATAAAGGTTGATTATAAAGTCTCATCCACCCACCTCTAATAAATCCACAATTGTTTTTGGGTGGAATCTTCCAAACCACATAAGCTCAACAAATACTAGTAAATACACAGGGACCCAATATCAGTATCAATCCACAACCACCCAAAAACAATAGTGCTTTGTTTTTGTAAATTGGTATGAGAAAAGGTAGGGATCATGAAATTTTTTTCATGAAAATGATCATGAATGATTTGTGACTCTTGGATTACCTTGATTAATGCATGGTGTTTTATTTTAAGTGTAATCTAAGGGTCATAAATCTTTCATGATCATTTTCATGAAAAAATTTTCATGATACCTAGCATTGCTCGATTGGTATTAGTACTTCTCACAAATCATAAAGGTTGATTATAAAGTCTCATCCACCCACCTCTAATAAATCCACAATTGTTTTTGGGTGGAATCTTCCAAACCACATAAGCTCAACAAATACTAGTAAATACACAGGGACCCAATATCAGTATCAATCCACAACCACCCAAAAACAAGAATACCCATTAAACCAATCGTCAATTACTAGTGATAAAAGTGAAGGAACAAAAGCTATATGTATAAATTAAGATTTATAGATACCTTGGAGGGGCCCAAGTGAGGCTGAGCTTGAACAATTTGTGAAGAAGGGAAGACCAAGCGATGCAATGAAGAACATCACTGTCAGATTCATGTCATGATGATGAGGAGGGTAAAACCAGGTCTTCATGGGTCCAGAGGAGAGAGAGGGACTGAGTTGGCTTTTGTATTCAACTTTGAGTTTCCTTGGCTGAAACCTGTAAAGCGGACTGTTGTTGAAGAAAAGCTAGACAAGTCTTGCATCAAACCAATTTTCAAGTCTCCATTTTTCTTTAGTTTATTTCAAGATCTTCCATTGAAATCAGAGCTGATCTCGCCACTTGATTGTACTAAATGCAAATCAAAGGAGATGACAACGACAATGACACCCCCCTAATTACAATTATGGAAAGAAAAGGATGGCAATCCCTCTAATAGCATGTGGTTTGGTTTGGTAAATACATTATTATTATTTTTAATTAATTATGCTTTATCCCTCAATTATGGACTATTATTATTTTATCCATTTTAATTAAAAATTATTATATTTTACTTGCATAACTTTTTAATTTGTTTTGAAAAGCACCCCTCTCAAGGATTATTAAAGATTCTTCATAAATAAATAAATAAATAAATAAAATTTAATGTTAGAAATAAATACTCCATCCCTCTCAAAACAATAATTTTTTTTTTGAAAAATTTAAAGTTGAGTTGGATAGAGTTTTCTAAATATGATTTGAGAATATAGTTGTATTTTGAATTTGTGAATTTTGGAATTATGATTTGAGTGTGAAAATTTTTTTTGGTAAATGAATTTTGAAAAGAATTTTAAATTGAGTGGAAAATTTTTGATATAACATATGATATTTGATACAAAAACTTACAATTGATAACCAAACACACAATTCAAAATTCTATTTAAAGTTCACAAAAAATTTTAAAAAATTCCGAATTTTTTTTTATTTAAAATATAAAAAATAACAAGTGGCATTTGTAAAAAAATAAATAAATAAATAAATGCACTATTCTGGTCAGACGACCGGCCTGACGTCCGAGAGGACGACCGGTTAGGCCAAATTTTTCCGCATTGGACAGAGTTTTCAAAAGTGAGTGGAATTAATTTTTGAAAATCATAAACAAACACCACACTCAAATATAATGGTAAAATTAAGTTTAGAGAGCTCTAACAAATAGAGCCTAACTTTTTCTAGTAGTACAATTATTATATTTTAAAAATATTAAATTTTCAAAATTATCCTTTGATATTACATTTTTTTAGAAATATAATTGTTATAATTGTACTTTTTGTGTTATTAATGAATTTAAAAAATAACAAAATAAAAAACTTACATTATTTTAATTTTTAATTTTTAAAAAGAAACTAATATTTTAAAATAATAAAAAATAAAATAAAAAATTAATATTTTAGAGCGGATGAATTGTTATTGTCCAAGTAAATTGGTACATTATAAAGATAGTCATCTCATAATTTTTTAGCCCAACATTTAACATGGTGGGAAGACCATCTTTTATCAATAAAGGACCCACTAGCACATTTTCATTGAAGAAATCTACTTTTGAGCATCTCAACAGAAACATTGTTTTCATATCTAACAAGTAAATTTCTTAATTTTTTTAATAATAATTTTCTCCTCCCATTTGTTGGCACTTTTCAAAACAAATGAGGTCATTTATTTATTTTGTTAGAAAACCTTTCATATTAAATAAATAAATAAAATTTGGAGTCTTTAAATTTAGTTTCCATTGAAAACTTGAGAGAAAATAGAGTAATTTGATAAATGATCACATGAAATATTTTAATAAGTACGAAATTACGCCATAAAAATGGTGTCAAACGCATTGATGATGATGTAAATTCAAAAGAAAAATTACTATATTACACTTTATTTACCTTACTTTTTTATTTATTAATTATTTTCTTTTACAAATTCAATCTTAAAAATTTGACTCGCCCGGCCATTTGCAAAACCGTTTTTTATTACCATGCAGACTTTATTTTCAACTGAGCAATTTTACGGTTTAGAGAAAAAAAAATTCAAAAATATATTGGTTGATTGAGATTAATTTGATGGGTAGAACACTGTACAAGAATATTATAAATCTCAATTAGGGATGACAAAATTTCTTCATCCTTTATTTTAACTCGATTTTAATATAAATATTTTGAGAAAGCATTGATTATGTAGGGTAAAACATAATGGTAGGTAGATCAAAACTGTCAAATTTATAATAAAATACAAAATTATATCACTAAAATAATTAAATTTAAAAATAAAAATTCATGCACAAAACCCCATCCATTACCATCCCTAATCTCAATCCTACACTACAATTTTATTCAATTTCTAGCCTCCAATTCTGGTCCAAACTTTCTGTCTTACTATGTTCCAACTAACACTAACATATATGAACATGACAGGTGGTCCAGTACTGTCCCTTGGAATAGTGAGAAGATCAGAAATTTAGTATTCCAGTCGATAGAGTAACTGCGATCATTTTGTTATAATCTAACTTACCCTCAACTATTAGTAAGTATTACTTTACTTCTATCATATATAAAATCCTACAAATTAACGAGTAATGCTATAGAAACAAAATTATGTGTCTCATTAATAGTTATTCGTTGAAAGCCTAAATGTTTAGAATAATTATAGAAATTTCAAAAATTCTATCAAAATTTTTATCAAATATCTCATATGGATGTGAGATCCACACAATCTGGGTCTTATATGGATCTCACACGACATTTGGTAGAATTTTTAAAAACTCTAGTATTTTTGAAATATTTATCACTTTGATTTATAATTGCAAGAATGCCATAATTATATCATGCTTGTCAAATTTTATATAAGACTAAATTTTTTATATTTTTATAATAACTAATATGTGCCCTAAGGACAGATGCTAGGAAAGTATTAACTGAAGTACAATTACTCATATTTGTGTAGGAAACAGTACAAACTTTTATAGTTGTTAGACTTAAAGATTTTTTTTTTTTTTTTACATAGAGACTAAAATAGCTTTTTTGTATTGTCCTCAATTCCATCCCTTAATTTCCCTTCTATTATTTTATTATATTTATATTATTATTAATTTTTAATTTGCAACATATACGATGATTATATAATTCTAAATAAATTGTTTTTATTTACTTGATTTATTATTTTTTAAAATAAATTGAAATGCATTTTTATTTTTATTTTTTGGTGTAACATTATACATCAATGGATTTTTTTTTTGTTGGTTATGATATTATAACATTAAAAAATGAAAATCTAATTGCAAGTGAGATTCGTCAATACCCTTCAAAAAATTGTTTCGACTAAATTGAGCTTTCAAATGAAGAAAATATTATTATTTTATGTGATTTCTAAATTTATTTTTTTTATTTATAATGAAATATTAATATTTTTTGTTTTTTTTATTTATTTAGGAGGATATTATTATTTTTAATTTATAATGCAACATGAGCTTCTACATGTTTTACTTTACATGTTTTTAAGATTTTTCTTATTTATTTTAGCATGTACTACATACATTAATATTTAAATAGGTCTCAATTTCATTATTCTAAAAATAAGAATATTTTTGTTCATTTGGAAAAGAGTCTAGTTTTTTAAAATCATTATATTTGGATTACTTTCATATTGAGATCTCCATATAAGAGAACTTGAGGGGCTCGTAGAGCCTACTACGGGTATTGTTTTGATAATTCGAACCGTTCATGTTGTAGAATCCTCAATGTATATCATCCATGACAAAATTTAAGTCAATTGAATAATCGTAACCTTTTTATTTTATCGCATTTGTCTCTAAAAAAAAATGGATAGTTTATTTTTAAAATATAATTATCATCCATTTTTTTTCATAAATAAATGCAATAAAATCAATTTGTTTTATAGATAATATATATTGAGAATTCTATAAAATGAATGGTTCGAATCATTGAAATGATACTTTTTGTGGGACCCAACAAGTCCCTCAAATTCTTTCATATTGAGATTTCAATAGGAGAGAAGTTGAACCATATTTCATATTCCTTATACAAATGAAGATTTACAATCATTAAGCCTCCGTTTGGCAAGGGCTTTTTCAGGCTTTTTTGACTATTTTAGCCACAAAAAACAAAATAGGCTATTTTAGCCATAACAAACAAAACATCACATCCAACCGAGAATTCTATAAAATGAATGGTTCGAATCATTGAAATGATACTTTTTGTGGGACCCAACAAGTCCCTCAAATTCTTTCATATTGAGATTTCAATATGAGAAAAGTTGAACCATATTTCATATTCCTTATACAAATGAAGATTTACAATCATTAATTATGTTTTTACGTTACACGTTAATTTGACTTTTGAGAGTCAAAATGTAAAATTAATGAATAGTAAATTGATATTCACTAAAATAATTGGGGGATGTTGGTATGATTAACCAAAATACGCTTGGGCCTTGTGATTTGCCACTACTCTCTCTCTCTCTCTCTATTTATATACGCTTGGGCCTCTTTCCGTAGCCAT